TGTAGTGTGACCCACTTTTAAACCTCAAAAGTGGTTTAAAGACATCTGTTTTTGTTGATGAATTTGAGGGTATTTAATATTTAGTAATACATTTTGCAAATCTTTTCAAGGGCAAGATTGCAGTTTTGGCCAGTGTGCCAGTTTTAATGCAATATATTATTCAAATTGAAAATAAGATTAAAAGTAAACTTGTTTGCAGGAACATTCACCAGGCTGAATGTGACATACTTAGAAACATACTTAGTGAGACCAGCAGAAGTCTCCCATTTTGGTTCGCTTGCTTGCTTGCTCTTTCCCTGCACGTGATTGCTTTTTTCAGCCCTGACAGTATGAACACTTTAAAACGCTGTGTGGCTTTTTACTTTAGAAGCTGATTATATAATATATACACATACATACAGTCTGTAAGAACACAAGTGAATAAGTATTTATCTTTTTTCATTGAGTTATATGCTAACAACATAAAGAAACAAAATCTACGCAGCCAATATGTTCCAAAGATGGAGAACACGATAAAATGCTTGTCTCCAGCATTGCTAAGGTATAAGCACCAGAGTTTACCTTTCGGCTGAAGTAATAAACACTCAGTGCTTCCCAAATCTTGATTTGCTCAAAAGTTTTTTTGTTTAGGTTCTGCCCCCGCCTTATATAGCCACAGAAGCCTAGGATCAGACCGGTGATCCATCTATTCCACTGCGCTGTCTCTGACAATAGCCAAAACCAGAGGCTAAATTTTGTATAACCTTAGCATGTCTCCTCTTGTTCCATTTAATTTCTGATGCAGGCGTCCGAACAAAACTACTGGCCTTCAGTGAACCTCCCTGACCATTATTCCAGCTTTTATACATTGATTCATCAGGGCTCAGTCATTCATCTCCTAGCAGTTCACCTTGTCATATGTATGTTATAAAATCATTTGATAATATTTGTACAATAAAATAAAATAAAAAATTAAAATTAAAATAAAATAAAAGCAGCAAGGAAATGAGGAGGAAAAAGGGCCTGACTGTGTCTGACTCTAAATGGGTGCCACAAGGGGAGAAGTCAGCACATGGAGCTCTTGCCAGCACCACCCACCTTACACTTCAGGGTAAAGGCAGCCACAGCTCTGATCCATGTGCTCCAATCTTGGGTGATCCCTGGGAAGGATCTGGTAGCTGTGGTGAGTCAACATGAGTCAGCAATGCAATGCTGTTGCAAAAAACAAATGCAATTTTAAGTTGCATTAATAGAGGCATAGCATGAAAGTCATGAGAGGTGATAGTATCACTCTACTTTACTCTGTTGAGGCCTCAGCTGGGTACGGTGTCCAATTATGAGCAAAGGCTGAAGCAATGTTTAGTTTAGTTGTATGTTTAGTTTGGAAAAGAGGAGATTGAAGGGGGACATGACAGTGGTCTTCAAATACTTGAAAGGCTGCCATAAAAAAGATGGAGAAAAGTGGTTCTCTCTTGCCACAGAAGGCAATAGGTTCAAACTACGACATAGCAGATTTAGATTAAATCTCAGGAAAAGCTTCCTAACTGTAAGAACAGACTGCATAGGGAGGCGGTAAAAGCTCCTTCGCCAGAGGTTTTCAAAAGGAGGCTGGATGCCCATCTGTTTTGGATAGTTTAGACACAACAAATCGTGCATCTTGGCAGGGGGTTAGACTAGATGACCCTTGCGCTCCCTTCTAACCCTATGATTTTGTGGTCCGCAGCCTCCACCATAGGCTGCCGAGTCCCACCCACAGGAGTGAATGCTACACTGGAAGTTCTTTGGTCTGAAGGTGACAGGAAATTTTGGCCCTCCGGTAGCTTTTTAAAGAGAAGAATAATCGGGCCTTGTGTGTTAAGAGGGGTCATGAAAACAATTTGTGTTTAAATCAAATCTTTGTTTTGAGCCCAATTTGGCTACAACCAATGAGGGCATGTACATTTCTGATTACAGTAGGGCTATGTGACTCGTCCTTGAATAAGGATGAAATGAAGGTATTTGTAATAATCCTGCCTATACTAGGGGAAAGAGACTTCAGTGCATAATGATGTTCTCAGTCATTTTGAGAAAGATACAAATATCTACTCATCAGGTGTAAAATTTTCAAAGGTGCCCAAGTGACTAGGAGCCTAAATCCCATTGAAAGCCTATTGGACTTAAATCTCTCAAGTTGACTTTCAGCGGCTTCTAAATCATGAGGCACCCTTGAAAATTTTACCTCTCTAATCCAGTCCCTGGAGCCTTAATCCCACCTGTCCTCCAAGAAGAGAACTTTTTTAGGTGTTTTTGTTTGTTGGAAAAGAAATTCAGTGAAATTCACTACACTGTACAGGAAGTCTCCTGGGAATTCTGAGGATTCAGGGCTATATGTTTTAACATTCTGTATAGTGAATATTTTTATACCTTCGTAATTTAAAAAAAAAAGAAGTTTAATGACCCCTCTCCTACAAACCCCAGGCTGCTGCAGCTCAGATATAAGAAAGTGAGGACAGACAATGCCAGGTGCAGCCAGCACACTCCTGCAGCCACACAACATCATGTCATTTTTATAAACATTATTCAAATTAGCTTCAGCACTCGTAATTCTGTTGTTTCCTTTATTGCTGTTGTAAAGCAAATGGTTCTTTTACACAAATGTTTTCTCCCACCTATTAATCCAGTTATAGATTATGGCACTCCTTTAAATTTAGGGATGTAAAGCCTCTTAAATATTTAGAAGTTTAAGACTGATATGGGAAGAAATTTCCTTTGATTTGCTTTATTAATATCCTGAGGGTCAATTTGTTATAGATTTGGAATATATTATTGCTACGCTGTTCTTTGACAAAGAGAGAAGAAAATGATGGTATTGTATTTGAGCTACAGCATCAAATATCTCCCTTTGAATTAGAGTTGGATGGACAATGCATCTTTCCTGTAAAAGATTGCAACTCCCCTCCACCCCCCAATTATCTTTGAAATTTTTCCACAGATTTTTTTGGCTTTTCAGCATAAACCCAAAAATCTAAAGACAAAAAGTGAAAAATTTTCCAGCAACATTTTTTGTTTTGTCACATTTTTTGGTGAAAAAATTTCAGCCAGCTCTACTTCAAAAGTGCTGGCAACAAAAGAGCTACGTTAGAAGTTCATGCCAATAAACTTCCTTATAACATTTAGCTCAAAAAACCCCCAGATATATTGCTTCCAGCAGCATTTTGCAAAGAGTGCATTTATAACAAATACATGTATCAGTGGAGGAATGAAACTCCACATACATCGCAAACAGCCTGATGAAGCTTTGAAGAACGAGTGAACCATAAGAAACTTTGACATTGGCTATTAGCTCCCTTAAATTCAGCATAGCAGAGACTTAGCAGTTATGACCCAATTTCACATCTACAGAGACAAGGTGGGTGAGGTAATATCTTTTATTGGACCAATATTTATTGGTGAGAGAGACAAGCTTTCAAGCTTACACAGCTTGTCTCTGTCACCAATGGAAGTTGGTCCAATAATATATATTACCTCACCCACCTTGTATCCTGGGACTGACATGGCTACAATAACACTGCATATTTTACATCTACAGCATTTTATAATCAATGTCATTTTCTCTACCTTAAAAATTATTTTAGTGCTTATTAGCCAAATCATGAGAGATGTCAAGCATCTGTAATTCTCATTGATATAAAATGGCAGAGGTTCAGAAGATTTCAGGATTTGCTCCTATGGAAGATGCTAAACTGATGAAAACTGAAGTCCCGTGTTTCCAGAGTAGAGATAGCTGAGACAATAGCAAAGCTAGCTTCCCCACATGTATCCTGCAAAGTTCAACCATGTCCTGGAAAGACTTTAGGATTTAGATGGTTGTTCAGTTTTCTTTGCCAATTCAGTTCTAGATTGGTGAACCCTTTTCAGCTAGCACAGGTCACGGCGATTTTTTGTGCTACTGGCGCCCCTCCGTTAGATACGGAATTAAAAATAACTTTTTATTTTAGTTGGCCATTAACCAGCCACTTTAACGTTCCAACATTTGTACTGTATTGTGGCAAGTTCACACCATCTCGTATTATATGGTGTGGTTGAATAGCTTGAGCCAAGTGTAAAGTCATTAGCAGGCACTTGTGTTTAAGAAAAGGTTTTGTGTGTTGCTAACACTCCAGGTTTATGACCAATGAGTTTTAAAAAATGGAGATATAAGATTGAAACATACACTTTTTTTAAATCATCACCAAAAAAATGTGACTGCATGGGCAATTCTGGTACTTGTGTGCAAATGGCTAGTTAGCTGCTACACAGCTACATGTATCCATATACATTTAACTGATTTGGGTGCACAAATGCAATAATTGCACAGAGAATAGTATGCACTGTTGTACTATTTTGCATTTAAAAAACCCTCACTCATCATCTTTTTTAAAAAAAAGATGAATTTATAGTGTTATATTTACAAAAAGCAAAATGTAAGGCTGTTATTGTCATGTATTTAGAAAATGAACTGAATGCTCCAAACAACTTTGTTTAAATTTGAAAAATATTTACTCTAGAAATATCTTGTATTACCCTTTTTGTCTCTCTGAACATACAGTAAAATTGTATATAACAGCGGACAATTGTACAACTACAGGCTGTAAGGAAATTTGGCGAGAGAAACTCTTCAGGATGGTGTATTTATTTCTCTGTTTCTGAAAGGTAGCCGTTAAAATTCACAGGTGCTGGCTGTCCAGATGTTTGTTGCATTTGACCATTGTAATTTGCAGTAGAATATACTGTGTTGCTACAATATCTGTAAAGAGGAAAGCTATTATAGTCTATATTCTATATATGGGCTCCAGCATTGATAGTAAGCATATTTCCTACTCAGATTAGCTTTTTTCCCCTTATGTGCTTAGGGCAACAAAAGTTCAAATTGAAATTTAGATCTAGTAGAGTGTATTTACAGGTCAGCGATGACTTATAATAAATTTGTTCCAAGAATGAGACAAAGGAAAAAAACCTTGAATTTTGAACAAGGAGTTTCCCTTTCTCTTTGTCATTTCTAGGGAGCAAGCATACCACTGGTGTCAGAGCTTGGCATTGACAATATCCATTTTGATGACTTTTCACTCGATGTGGATGCCATGATTACTGCAGCCCTCCGGATGTTCATGGAGCTTGGAATGGTTCAGAAATTTAAAATTGACTATGAGGTAACCATCTGCTCTGTAGAGATATCTGCCACTTTGTCTTGGCAGTGCTATGCCCATTTGTACACATTTAGTAGCCCTGATACAATTTGTACTTTTCATTTCAGACACTGTGTAGGTGGCTTTTGACAGTGAGGAAGAATTATCGAATGGTTCTGTATCACAACTGGAGGCATGCTTTCAATGTGTGCCAGTTAATGTTTGCAATGTTAACTGTAAGTATTCCACGAAAGGGACAGCCCTCATAAGAGCTTTTATCATCACAGTGTCTTATGTGGCTAAACATCTTTTCCAGTGTTTATTTTTTAGTTATTATATTCATTTATGTTATAGCAATGTACAATAAATAAGGGAGCACAATTTTGGCACCCGTTTTATAGAGTTTTAGCAACAGTGATATCACAGGCACATTAAAATGACTAATAATTAACAGATGACAATCTTGGAGTAGGGAGCTTATTAGAGATTTTGATCTTACCATGTCTTCCTTTTTTGAAATCTTTGATTTTGCATTTATTTCTGCATGTGAACATGGAGGTCATAAAAACCTGAGTGTGTAGAATCCTATCAGCAGGGTTATTTGGTGCGATGATACTTATTCAGCTACTTTCCCTAGCTTCATCTAAATAGATATAGGAGATATTGCCTTATAAACCATTTAAAAATGGGTTTCCTTAGAGAGGATCCGAATAGGTCCTGCAGCCTCCGCATATTGTTTTCTGCTGTTCATCAAAGATATCCATCAAAGGGTCTAACCTTCTCTCTGCATATAAAGTACTCTTATTGATGCCAATAGTCCACAACCATTTTGGCTTGGGGGCTGCTCAGGCCCCCCTCCCTAGGCAGATAGAGGGTCCGCCATGGCTTCCCACAGCTGCCCGCCGGTAAGAACCGGGCAGGCAGCTGTGGGAAGCCGCAGCAGACCCATTACCTGCCCTGGGTGGGGGGCCCAAGCAGCCCACAGGCCAACATGGAGCCCAGCCAGGGAGCTATGGGGAGCCATAGCGGACTCTCCACCGGCCCATGGTGGGGGGAGCGGGGGGGGCTGAGAGCAGCCCCCAGCCGTGTGCCCAACCCCTAGGCTCCCCGCCCGGCCGAGGGCAGGTGGAGGGTCCGCGACTCTGCACAGGCTCCCCACACGGCTCTCTCTGACTGGTGTCTGGCAGGGGGATGTCTCGGAGCCTCAGCCCGGCCCCCAGTGTACAGCCCTGCAAATCCACAGATATCTGCGAATATCCGCAGATAATTTTTGTGGATCGTGGATCGGATGCGGATACACATTTGTGTATCTGCGCAGGGCTCTAGAGAGAAGGATTGTAGCTATAGTTATTTTTCTGTATTGCTCTCCTTTTAAACTACAGATGGCCTAAAGTCAAAATTGCAAATCCAAATCCCTTCATTTCAGGAGAATACAGTTTGAATTCCTGGATCCAAACTTGCTCTTAAGATTTGTGGTTAGAACCAAAACTGGAAGGGGCTTACTTTCTGGTTGAGATGCATCTGAAACCTTGGTAAGAACAGCTGTTTGAAAGATTTCAGGCCTTGATAATGGAAAGTTTTGAGAACAGATGCAAGATCCCTACTGTTCAAGGCAATAGAAACTGATCCACCATGAGATTTGCACTGTTTTGAGCTAAAATGTAACAGGTGGTGGGATTTAACTCCCAAAACTGAACATGAACCCTGATTCAGCCTCAAACTGCAGTGTAAATCTAATCTGGATCCAAACACAGCCTCATTGGTTTATCTCGAGCCTTAAGAGAAGGTCCTGCAGTATAGTGTTTGTGCAAACATTTCCTCATATGTAGTCTGAAAGACGACTATGAAAAGTTGTTCATGTTTAAACCTTTTAACCCTTTAAGTGCCTTGGGGTATAAAGGGTGAATAGCTTTAAAGATTTGCCTTAGGAACATGGCATGACTCATATTATAAGCTATACCAAAAGCTAGAAAGTTGTCCTAATAACTAGTTTCATTCATCATTTTCCAAAGGTTTGCCTGTCCGTAGCATACATCTATCCAAACCAACAAACATGTGAGATGCTGCACATGTCTTGGCAAAACAACCTGTGTTCACTCCATGAATATTTGCATTTGAAATTGTATATCTTCACATTTACAAACCCGTTCTGGGGCAAAATTGTTGTTGTTTGTGGCAACAAACACATCTCTCTGCAGAAAAAAGTGATAAATGTCTGTCTTCTGGGCAAAACTGATTTTTCCACAGTGAATGACAATTTTACTGCTTCTTTTCTTATCAAAAATATAAAGAAACTGAAATTTTTTAAGTTTTCTCCCCACAAAATTGTGAACTTTTTTTTCTAGTTCTGCTGTTTTTCAATTTGTTTTTTAACAAAGCCATAATTTTGGAAGCAATACTCAAATATTATTAAGCAGATAATACAATAACTGGGGTGACAGATTTCAGAGGAACAGCCGTGTTAGTCTGTATTCGCAAAAAGAAAAGGAGTACTTGTGGCACCTTAGAGACTAACCAATTTATTTGAGCATGAGCTTTCGTGAGCTACAGCTCACTTCATCAGATGTTTACCGTGGAAACTGCAGCAGACTTTATATACACACAGAGAATATGAAACAATACCTCCTCCCACCCCACTGTCCTGCTGGTAATAGCTTATCTAAAGTGATCAACAGGTGGGCCATTTCCAGCACAAATCCAGGTTTTCTCACCCTCCACCCCCCCACACAAATTCACTCTCCTGCTGGTGCTAGCCCATCCAAAGTGACAACTCTTTACATAATCAAGTCGGGCTATTTCCTGCATAGATCCAGGTTTTCTCACATCCCCCCCACCCCCATACACACACAAACTCACTCTCCTGCTGGTAATAGCTCATCTAAACTGACCACTCTCCAAGTTTAAATCCAAGTTAAACCAGAACATCTGGGGGGGGGGGGGGGGGGGGGTTAGGAAAAAACAAGAGGAAACAGGCTACCTTGCATAATGACTTAGCCACTCCCAGTCTCTATTTAAGCCTAAATTAATAGTATCCAATTTGCAAATGAATTCCAATTCAGCAGTTTCTCGCTGGAGTCTGGATTTGAAGTTTTTTTGTTTTAAGATAGCGACCTTCATGTCTGTGATTGCGTGACCAGAGAGATTGAAGTGTTCTCCGACTGGTTTATGAATGTTATAATTCTTGACATCTGATTTGTGTCCATTTATTCTTTTACGTAGAGACTGTCCAGTTTGACCAATGTACATGGCAGAGGGGCATTGCTGGCACATGATGGCATATATCACATTGGTGGATGTGCAGGTGAACGAGCCTCTGATAGTGTGGCTGATGTTATTAGGCCCTGTGATGGTGTCCCCTGAATAGATATGTGGGCACAATTGGCAACGGGCTTTGTTGCAAGGATAAGTTCCTGGGTTAGTGGTTCTGTTGTGTGGTATGTGGTTGTTGGTGAGTATTTGCTTCAGGTTGCGGGGCTGTCTGTAGGCAAGGACTGGCCTGTCTCCCAAGACTTGTGAGAGTGTTGGGTCATCCTTTAGGATAGGTTGTAGATCCTTAATAATGCATTGGAGGGGTTTTAGTTGGGGGCTGAAGAAGTGAGCTGTAGCTCACGAAAGCTCATGCTCAAATAAATTGGTTAGTCTCTAAGGTGCCACAAGTACTCCTTTTCTTTTTGGGGTGATAGAGTGACTTGCTTTAACCAACTGGATTCAGATTAATCACTGAAAAATCAAACCCAAAGTGTCTTCGTTGGATACCCACAAATTCATGCATCTAAAAGCCCAGGCCACTGTTGAAAATGCTGGCCTGTTTACTTTCCCAGGGTCATAACAGGAAGCCTGTCACTGACATAGGCAGAAAGAGAACCTAAGAGTTCTGAATCACTGCCCTGTGGCTTAGCTACAGCAGCATTCATCCCTTCGAATCAAGGGCCATGCATAGAAGTTTAATCTGTATTTTTTCTACTTGAATTTTTTTTTTTATGGCAAATGTGAGCTACCATAAATTGATGGTGGGCTACCATAAGTTTCTTTATATAGCTATGCCATACGCTGATTTAGTCACTTTTGTGTTAATGAGATCTCTGTTGGACAATATTAAAACGCTTACATCTCTTCAAGACACTGTACGAGTCTATAAATCAGTTGGGAGTTGACAGGCTCCCTCCATCCAAATATTTGCAGAAGAATAAGTAAAAGAACTGGATGGAACGTGTCACATACTGAGATGAGAGAATTCTAAGTGGTGAAATCTGACATGAAATTCATGGTATGTAAAAGTAGATTAGTAAGGCACCAGACAGAAACCTGCAAATCCAAGAATTAAACTGATTCATTGCATTTTGTTGACAATAATATATATAAAAAAATCAAACCACACAAGTTTCATGGTACATTCCAACACATCTCCATTTTGGAGAATCCTGGGCTTATTTGTGGAAATTAGGCAAGCAAGGGCTTTGCTGGAAACCAGGCGCATCTCAAAGATTGTGTACTTGTTTTCTAAAGGGAGAGGGAGGGCATGTGAGCATTACCGCTTTTCAAGACTCCTACCACCTGCCAGTCTATAAAACACCATTTGCATCAACGATGTTGCGACTGGCAGTGTTGTCAGAGGAGGCTGCATAACTTGTCCTGTAAATGGATTAGACTGGGCCTGATCCAGTGCCCACTGAAGTCTTTCCATTGACTTCAGTGGACATTGGATCAGGTCCTTAGCACTTTACATGTTCATACACATGCTGCACAAATATGATCTAAAATGGATCCCCACAACTCTCCTTTGAGATAGGTAAGTATTAATATCCCTGTTACACAGATGTGCAAAGTGAGGCAGAAAAATAAAGAGAGAGTCACTAATACAGCCAGAATTAGAACTCCGTCTCCTGGCTCACAGCCATGTATCAGACCACCAGACAACACAGCATTCCATAAGAGAGAGCTGTTTCAGTACTCACCATGAGAGGAAGTAAATAGAGAGGTTCAGTGGGGAGAAAGGCCTATGGAAGACAGAGAATGGCAGTCACTCTTAGTATTCTTATAGCTGGAAATAAGTTGTTCAGATAAATAGAATTAAAATGGTTTCCACAGGCAAATGTACAAGAGCACTTTTCTGTATCTGAAATGTTGTGGCATTAGACACAGTGTATGAACCTTATGCTAAACTTCACAGCCAAGTTGATAATATGCAGGGAAGCAGTAGTTTTTCAAATTTCATTTTTCATGGTGAGAAAGGACA